GATGGATGGATGGATGGATGGATGGATGGATGGATGGATGGATGGAGAGTGAGACAAACAGTTCGGGTGGTTTCACAATTCCAAAAAAAATCCAGATTCAGACTACTGACCTTGCAGAAAGCACTTATTACTGTAGTAGCTTTTTTACATGGGCATACTGACTACAGCTGATCCAAAATGCAGCTGCTCCTACTCTTAGAAAGTTCCAGGAAATTTAAAGATGTCACACCAATTCTTAAGTCTCAACACTAGCTTCCTATTTAAAGGAAAACCAATTTTACTTGAATATAAGCTTTAAATGGGCTTTTCCAACAGTACATGGGACATGTCATCAGACCACAATGGTCTGCAGATTGGGGTAACTTGGTCATAACTCCAATATTTTTTCAAATGAGGAAAAGCTGCCTTCAATAATAATGTTTCATTGAAATGGAATATATTGCATTTAGATATGAGAGAAAGCCCCAGTGCAAGTAATTTAAGAAAAACATAAGAATATGTTTCTATTTGCACAACTGATTGTTTTTAATTGTTTCCCATTGCAGAGACAAAAAGGGATAAGTGAAAATCGTGTCCGTCTATTTGGTCATGTTGTGAGCATAACTTGAGAACAGATGGCCACCACCATATATACAGTATTTACAATAAATGCAAACTGACCATGGCTATCTTTTAAAGAAATTATGTTTTCTAGTTTTTATATTAATGAAAAGTAAATTTTCCTCAAATGATTGGGGTGGCCAAAGATTAATCTACGGCACGTGTCAAATTCAAGGCCCGAGGGTCAAATACGGCCCTTGTAAACATTTATCTGGCCCTCAAGATGATATTTTAAATGCATTTTTTTTAATCACATTTTATTTTGCTTTAAAAACTACTTCATTTAGTGCAGACTTCTCATGACACTTGGCCAACTTTGAAGCCCAAAAGATTTATGTTTTCAATAATCTTTCAATTTGATGTAAACAAGAGGAACATCCATCCATTATCTTTACCCACTTCTTCCTTTTTGAGTCATGGGAGTTGCCGGTGCCCATGTCCAGCTATCACTGTGCGAGAGGTGGGGGACACCTTGGACAGGTTGCAAGTCCATCACAGGGACACAGAGACAAACAACCATTCACTCTCTCACACTTAGAGACAATTTAGAGTTATCAGTCAGGCTAACATGCATGTTTTTGATCAGTGGGAGGAAACCGGAGTACCTGGAGGAAACCCAGGAAGAGGGCTACCTGCATCATGAAGGACCTCACTCACCCAGCACACACACTTTTTGTCCCACTCCCCTCAGGAAGGAGGTTGAGGAGCATTAAGTGTAGAACCACTAGACTGAGGAACATCTTCTACCCTGAGGCTGTTAGACTCATGAATCTCTAACTAGAATAATCACTGTGAAAAACCATATCATGTTGCTGCTGATCTGTTTCATGTTGCTGCTGATCTGTTTCAATGTTGATGTGTTCATGCGTGCACATCCGCTCACACAGACTCATGTTCATGTTTGTGCTGATGTTCAATGTTTTTATGTTATGAGTGCTTAGTGTATATTTAGTTGATGTTTTTTCTTAGTTCATATCTTAGATGTTATTACTGTTTTTCTTATACATTTTATTGTTGGATGTAACTGGGACCCTGTGTACATAATTTCGCTCCACCACATGAACCACATGAGGTGCGAATGACAATAAAGAATCTCTGACTCTGACTCTCTGATGAATGTAGGCATGGTGAATACTTAAAAAGTTTAATTAATACTCATTTTATTGGTCCCTGTTATAACAACCATATTGGAAAACCAGACTAATACATTTTTGATCGACTCCTGTTTTTACATGAACTTTTATATTTTTTAATATCTATATAGTCCTGAGAACATGTTTCATGATAATCATACAAAGAAGTGTATATCTGTGAAGTGTTAAAGCCGGGCTGTAATCTGCAGTTCCCATCAAGCTGCATCAAAGATGCATGTGCATGTACACAGAAACCAAACAGCAGATACAAGCTTCATGCAGATGCACACCCACAGAAACAGGAATTCAGTAGAAAGTGAGAGCAGCTAAAGTGTTGTGGCTTTACTCCTCAACTTTATCTTCAATAGAAGAACCACATGACTCTGTGTGCATATATGTGTGTGTTCGTTTTTGTTACATTGTTAGGACTATTTTTCCAATACACACCAACTTGTGAGGACACACTGCTATTAAGGGGACCAAAGCCTTATGTTCAAATACCATTTTGAGGTTATGTTTAGGGTAAGGGTCAGGGTTAGGCTATAGAAATGAAGGGAAATTCATTTCAAAAATACTTAATTAAACCCAAAGGGAAATTAAATGTTGTGACTCATTATCCTGGTTTCATTAAAGAGTTGTTTTAGATGCTGATGGCTGTGGGCAGGAAGGATCTCTTGTAGCGGTCTGTCTTCCAGTGGATCTGAAGAAAGTGGTTGCAGATGTTGATCCGTCTACTTGACAGGTTTCTTGGTCTTCTTGGGCAGCAGGACCACCTGAATGTGGAGCAGAACTCCTCCCTGAGCAATAGTCACTCATCCCAGCAGCTTGCTGAGCTCCGCATTGTTGCAGACATCCAGCTGCAGGTATCAGGGGACAATCCTGGTCTTCTTGTTGTCACGAGCCACGTTTCCCACCAGCTCCAGGATCTCAGCGGTCAGGTACTCGAGCCAGGTAGATGGGAATGCATCCAAGGCACCCCCTTTTCAACTCATTTGGGATTTAGGGTTGTAAAATAGGTATTATTTGAGCTTTTGAGTTGTTAATTAGCTGCTCCCAGTTGCATAATATCTGATACTAGAGGAAATAATTATCCAAAAAAAGAAAAGGTTATCTACATCAATAAAATAGGAATTATTGTTTTCAAAAACAATATCTCAGAATGAATGTAACAGAGCTACTCCAACATGTGACATCATCCGAATGTGAACGTCGTCTACAAGCAAGAAAAGCAGCTTGGTGAAAAGACTGATAGCAGCAGCATTTAAACAACCTTTATCAGGTAATTCAGATCGATCCAAAGCAATAACACAAGCTGTAGGAGTTTTAAAGCCCTGGATCTACGTTTCTGGTGTTGATGCGCCGGCTTCAAAGTTATCGAGCCCCGCTACGACATCCCATCACATCAACACTTCAGTCAAAAAGTTGTAGCAGCACTTTATGAAAAACCTAAAACTGATCATCAACAAACCCTGGAGCCCAGATTTAAAAGTCCTGCAACATGATGATGATGAGCGAAAGAGGATATTCAACCACATAATAACAGAAATGATGACAGTGCAAGAAGAGGTATTGTTATTGTATTATTATGACCTAATTAACTTTTTTAATTTAAAATTATAATCTTATTAACTTGTTTTTTTTTACCTCTTTGTGTTTTATTTCCAGTCTGAGGATGTCAGAGATAGCAGCTGAGTCTTCTTCCTCTTCAGGGAAATCATCCACCAGATATCACCTCCAGCTATGTTGTGATGTATGCTGTGATGACTGAACCCTTTGAACATTTCCATGGTTCTGACTGTTATTGTATTTATCAAGATTTTTATTATTGTTAGTATAGTTTGTTTATTGTAAAAGTGCCGTTTATTCAAAATATCATCCGCATGGGTCACTTTTATTTTTATACAAAGATGTTGTTTACTTGGCATATTTTCAAAAATAAACATTTTGTAATTCTTCATTTTGACCTTTTTTGTACCGAAAATTAACCGAACCGAGCCCTTCTTGAAACTGAACCGAACCAAAATCTGTTTTTAGCGTATTGTTACACCCCTAATATATATATATATATATATATATATATATGTGTGTGTGTGTGTGTGTGTGTGTGTGTGTGTGTGTGTGTGTGTGTTAGGGAGAGTGGTGGTGCAGAGGTTAGAGAAGGTGGGCCTGACATCGGAGGATCGCCGGTTCAAGCCCCAGTACCGACAACATCAAAAATGTGGGTGGGGTAGGTGAAGCACCCACACCTGCCCCCACCCTCATTTGCCCCACTCTGGGCCAATGAGCAAGGCCCTTAACCCCCATCTGCTCCCTAAACAGGTCTCTCTTGAAAATGAGTTCTCGTGGCTCAATAAGACTACCTGGATAAATAAAGGGTAAATGACCAAAAAA